TTATACATGAGGGTAAAGCCATTCAGAATAGGATGGTCTTTACTAATATTATTGTCTATATTAATAACCTTTGGAGGACGGGTAATGCTAAACAAAGCTTTTTTTTTGCATTAATTATTTTCTTTCTATGGGGCCTGCAGTCATGGCTGAGAGATCTCCTCATTTTGGTGAGATGGAGGCCTCCTCCCAGAGGTTGGGTAAATTTTAACACCGATGGGAGTTAGAAATTTAATAGTGATGTGAGGGCATTGCTAGGAATTTTGTTGGGAACTGTATTCTTTTCTTTTCTTCCCCTCTTACGCTGACACTCCTATGGAGTCGGAGGCTCGGGTCATCTTGATGGTTGTCATGATAGCTCACTCTCTTAGCTGGCATTTTATTATCTTTGAATGTGATAATCGCATCTTGGTTGACAATTTTGCCAATGGTGTCGAGGCCCCTTGTGATATCCTCTATTATATTAAGAGGATTAAAGGCTTAATCACTTATATGAATTTGATATGGAGTTTCAATTATCGGGAGGGAAATCAGCCCGCAAATTGGCTTGCTATTTTAGGTAGCGCCACTAGTACCTGTTGGGTGGGATCTGATCCCCCTTCCTTTAAACACTTTGTTGGTTGGTGACAAGATTGACGCCCCATATGTTCGTCGGGATGTCTCCTCTTAGCTTGTTATTATTTGGTGGTATGGTTTGGCCCTCGATTTCAATGGGGTTGTCCTTATATTTCCTTTCCTACTTCGACCTAGATTGGCTCTCGGTTGAGGCGGTGGTTGCTGCTCACCTTATATTTATAGCAGTACCTACTTTTGGTTCTGTGGTACTTTCTTTGGGTGCCAGCTGTTGCACCTGAGTTTACGGGTTTTATTGGTTTCATTAACTCAATCTCTACTTTCACGGGCCCTCTTTCTTTCCTTTGTTATTATTACTGCAGGTTTTCATTCGTGGAATTCAGACGCTTGTGATGTTGTTGCCGCTTGGAGCACTTCACTCGGTCTTTGTGTTCTTTCTTATTTTTTTGGTGTACATCTTTTGTGGGGTATATGATTACATTGGTATACTGGATTTAATGTTTTTTGGGTACACTTTTTCTTTTTTATCCTTTTGGTGTGAAGTTGTAACGTGGATAAAAGAACCCCTAGGATTTTTATTTTGTTTTTGGACAGGGATCCTTATTCCCTCCCTCTGTTTGTACTTTTAATTTATATTAACACGGAGGGAGCCACGAGATACTTTCCCTTAAATATATATATATATATATATATAAATTCAAATGATTTTCCAAAATAAACGGCCGACAGTAACAATCAATTAATAGCATCACAGGAAGCTACACTTCCAGCCCCCACCCCAGGTGTTCCACATGAAAAGACGAAAGGCCAGGGTGAAACTCTTGTTATTGAAACGAAGCAGAAGATGTCAGTTCTCCAAAACTTTAACAGTCAGAGGAAAGAACTAAAAATAATAAGAATCACTCATCAATCAAACTCTTAAACACACTGAGACCCAACTTATATAGATGAGGAACATATAAGGTATTTACTTGTTCAAATTTTGGCTCGGAAAAACCTACGTCAATGTGTACCTTCAGCTCAGATTATACCAAAGCAAAACAAATCGATTAGAGATATGCTTGCAGGTGGGAGAATCTCCTCAGATGCTTTGGGGCCAAGGCAATCGTCAGCGAGATCCAGGAAAGGCCGCAGAGAACCAGAAGCTTCGAACGATAAAGTCAAAGCTCTTCCAATCCCGGGAGATTGACGCAGGACACGGGGGAAGACTGGCTAGTCCTCAAGGGAGGGGGATGCCTCCCCCTCCTTCCCCTTCTTCCTTTCCCTCCTCCCCGTTTTCCTTCCTTCTCTCCTTTCTCCCCTTTCCTTCCTCACCTTTTCTTTCTCTCCCCCTCACCTTTCCTTCCCAAGAACTTTCCTATTTTAAATCCTTTCCTAAAACCTGAAAAATTATAATTTTATTCTCCTTGCTTGTTTTAAAAATCTTTCATAAAATTTGAAATCTCATTTATTCTCCTTACTTATTTTAAAAGCCTTCCAAAAATCAGAAATCCTTTTTATTCTCCTTTCTTATTTTGAAAGTTTTTCCAAAATATGAAATCCTTCCTAAAATAGGTCAATCCTCTTTCTAAATAGAAAGTGATGCGCTTAGAGTTAGGGGGCATGTTTGGATATCTGAATTCAGGTTTTACCCTTGGCATTTTCCCTTTGAGGATTGTATCTGACGTCGAGGTAGTGCACCGGCAGTCTCTCGTCCAAGGTGATGATCGTCTTCACGAGTCCAGGTTGTGCTTCTTGCTTATTTTAAAACTCTTTCCTAAAATCTCTTTTTATTCTCCTTGCTTATTTTAAAAATATTTCATAAAATCTGAAATCTCTTTTATTCTCCTTACTTATTTTAAAAGACTTCAAAAAATCAGAAATTTTTTATTCTCCTTTCTTATTTTGAAAGTTTTTCCAAAAACTAAAATCCTTCCTAAAATAGGCCAATCCTCTTTATAAATAGGAAGTAATATGCTCAGAGTTAGGGGGCTTGTTTTGATATCTGAATTCAAGTTTTACCCTTGGCATTTTCCATTCGAGAGTTGTATATGATGTTGAGGTAGTGCTCCGGCTGTCCAGGTTGTGCTTTGGCTGTAGCTCGACCCTGCCGAGATATTTATCTATCCTTCCAACCTTCCTACTATTGTCAACCCGCTTCCCAAATCTACAGCAGGCCACCTCACCTCTTCCCCAGCAACCGTCGGCTGCTATCCTGCCTCCAACCACTCCCAACAATTGTTCCCACCCCCTGCACATCCAGGAGTCCCTCCGGCTCCTCCCAGCAGCCGCAATACCCCTTCCCGGCATTCTCTGGGCCAACCTTCCACTTCCCGCTGCAGCTCCTTGACTCCAGCATCGGCAGCAACTCCCAGCCTCCCTGCACCCAACCAGCTGCAGCCCAGCTTCTTCCTCCCTCCAACCTGCAGCCAGCATTTTCCCAGCAAGGCCACAGCTCTCCATACTCCACCCCGGATTTCCTGCTCGTCGTGTTTGTTTAGGTCGTCATTCTTGAGTTGTGTGTTTTCTTTTATCCTGCCCCATTGCTTTAGGTAGTTGTTCTCCATACTTGAGTCTCCATTGTAACCTCATTTAGAGTCATTAATAAAATTGTGTCCTGCGTCGTGGTTTGGGTTAACTCTGGTAAAGCATATATTGTCCAACCAATGGTTAGCAGAATGATAAAACCACTATATTAAAGTTACAACCTAAGAAGGATGTTCCTCAACTACGAAGTATATCAGTTATGAGTCATAAGGAGCACTTGATGGGGCATGAAGCCCTTTATTGGCCATTATTAGCCTTAAATTGATCCTTACAGCAAGCCTCCGCCCAAATTTATGAGATCACCTTAAATAATGAAACATGAGATTAATAATAAAGATCTTTCAGTTAAGTTGGTTATACTATCTAAATTGATTTAGCAGGCCATGGTCCATATAAACTTGAAACAACAAGATAATAAGATCTTGATTGGGTCTATCATCATCCTCTCACTATCCACTCTAAACTAACGACGGTATAATATTCTCCCCAAATCAACTTTCTTCTACAAAGTCACCCAATTAGCCTTAATCAAAGTGTTCCAATATGATCTAAAGGAGTAATTAACTAGAAGACCTTTACTCAGTAAAGCTATGAATAAGAGCATAAAGTTCTCAAAAGATGGTCTATCATCTAAATATTTAACTTAGAATTACTCAAATATAAAACAAATTTCGGCAAGAATTTTTGGAGCCCGCACCATTAAGCTATTTTTAGTCATACTATTTTTAATAAATGAAGCTCTAACATTTACTTTGATATAATTGTCTCTTAATTTATATTTCCTAATTTTGTCATGCACTCACGTTACATTTTCATTTTTACCACACTAAAGTTAAATATCAATGAATCTTTACAGCACAAACTTCGAATTCATACATCAACAACCAAATTAAAATACAGAAGTTATTTTAATCTTCCTTAATCCATATTATCCCTAATCCCACAGAGCAGTTAAGGCACTTCTATATTTTAATCATCAAGCCTTAACTAAGAGGTTTATATTGTCATATATCTCTACTCTTCAACAAAATAGATATAATATACTTGAGTCTATTACATGCATGTGTCAATTAGTCTTCTGAAAATATGGAAGATAATTGTTAAATCATAACCAGCCAAATTTTAAATCATAAATTCATTCTGTCCTACAAATTCTAAAATTTTAACCATATCTCAGATATAGTATTTTATCAATCTATCAATCTAATTTTTTCACAGATTCATCTTAGCATTCTTATTTCTACCATGTTGTGCTTCATTACTAGTAACTTTTTATTTACACAGCTCTAAGACACTCACCATAGCTAGCCGAGCTGCTATTTTATAAAATTTGCATTTAAGTATCCATATTTTTTCATCACATAACAATCTTTAAGCACTTAAATATTTGAATGTCAAATATTAACTCTAAAATCCTTATGTCTTGTTCTATTCTTTCACATGGTAAACGTAAATCTAAAATACTCAAACACGAGACAGAAAAGGGATCAATTTATCTTCTGAGGCTAAAAAAGAGAAAATCTTAATTGTACTATAATGGCAAGCAAAATGTACATATAATACAAATTAAAAAAGCTTTTAATCATTTCACGCCTAAAACAACCCAATCTGTCCAAGGACATAAAATAAAACCACACTTCAAAAACAATATTGGGAAATATTAGGCCAGCTATAGGATTAACCTTCTTGGGAACCTGATACATGACATCAAATTCCGATGCAGTTCAGTAGAGAAATCATTAATAGATAATTTTCATGAAAGAGCAAATATATGATCGGGTGGAACAGGAATAAAGCCCAGTAGCAATTGCCGAATAATTTTCACGAGTGGTGTGGAGTGCATTGTCACACAGCACACTAGCAGACTGCTACGAATATTTGACTAAATTATGAGTTCTACATACCTTTTCATGCCTCAGCCCAACTCCTGCCAAGGCCAAGAGGGTTACATCAGTTGCAGCAACAACATTACTGCAAAAAAACAAAGTAAAATCTCATATTCAAGAAAACCACACCGATATTCACAAGGCACAGCTACACTCAGGATAATAGCAACATTGTATAGATAACCTGACTTGTCGTACGGTTGCACCTTTTCTTCCATGACTGTAGAACCATTGAAATATGCCTTTATCATACGCAAGTTTCCATATTGCACCATGACCGCCTGGTTTGCAGACTAGGGAGAGAGGTTCGTTAATCAGCCATTGGCCATCTTCAGTAGCAACAACTGGCACCAACGGCTACAAGGGCCAAAGAAAATAATAAGATAATTAATATCTAAAAGCATGACTACTCAAAAAGAAAAAATATGTAATACTGAAAAAAGCTATTTTCAACTGAAGAATTAGTGTAAAGTGTCAAAATAGTCCTTTACTATTATATGGAGTCATTTTAGTCCCACACTATAAAAGTGTCAAATTAGTTCTCAATCTTTTTTAATGTGGGCTAAAATAGTCTTTATGTGGACTATTTTAAACCATATTAATGGCATCTTGGGACTAAATTGACGCTTTTATAAACTTTGTGACTAAAATAATCCCTTACAAAAAATTGGGTAATCATTTTCACACTTTTCTCGAATAATTTACTACCTGTTCAAAAAGGTTAAATTTCTGCCGGCCCCTCCCAAACCATCCATGTTTCTCAAGAAGCGACAAAATATGCTCATGATTGTTCTTTACTGAACTTGTCATGATAGCAACTGGAGTTATACACTGCTTACCAAAAACTTTGAAGTGAAGAAATTCTCTAGCCTGGAGATGTGAAATAAGAGTAAGAATTTCATAAAAGTAGCAGAGGTTAATATTGAGAGACATGAAAATTTGTCTAACTTTGTAGATTCATGAACAAAATATAACTCGGAAAAAAAAAATTCAATGCTTCGTGTAGAAAAAAGCTAAGTCATTAAAATGGGTTTTTATAGTATAACATTGTGATATCAATTGAATGTCTAAGGGTCTGCTTGGGACGACTGCAGCTGTTTAAAAAAACAACTGTGAACTGCTACAAAAGAAGCTATTGTTCAAATAACTATAGGGGATATTATATTTTTTTCTTCAAAAAGTCAAACTGCGTCTTTCTAGCAGCCACCACACTTAGCTAGGTCAGGTTGCAACGTCGAGAGTAACTTTGAAAGTCTGACCTAAACTATTCTGACTGAATATGAGAAAGCCTATAAAATAACAAGCTACTATCATTTCTTTATTATAGATTGAGATCTTCTTCGGACTTGATGCACAAATAGATGGAATAGCAGCAAATAGCTTCTTTCTATCCAACATCTTTATTGAACTTGGGAAAGGTTGGCACGCAGCTTTCCACAGCAACTTTTTGAAAAAACAAGCAAAATTAGGTTTTGCCAAACACAATAAAGTGCGGTACTATACCGTACCACTGCCCCAAATGCACCCTAAGTTACATGAGGTAAATATAAATGTAACAGCATAAAACAAAATAAATACAGCTTAAAAGAGTGGTGATACAGAACGTCTCAGATTCTTTAACTTTTAATACAAAGTTAGCATGAAAGGCACAAAACCATGCAATTGCCATTAAACATTTGAAGGACAAATTTTTATATAAAACACTTATAAACAACTTTAGAAGTTCGATGAAGATGGAAATCAAATCAAATGAAATCCCAATGATCTTCTGTTAGATATTGATGAAGAGAGCAAGGATCAATAAAGTTTCATACAAATTTTGAAGCTTGCCACTTAGCAAAATCCCATATTCTAGCAAATTTAACCAAACATAAGCATTATTCTACATTAATAAATAAAACATAAAAAAGATGAAAGAGGGAAAAAAAAAAGAAAAAAATAAAGAAAAGAAATCACAAAAATGCAAGACTTGCACTTTTCAAAAAGGTGTTCTCACATGAAACCTCTCAAGTCACGCTTGATCAAGAAAGCAAATTCCAAAAACAAAAAGAATTGCACATTCAAGTAATAATTTTATCCTGACACTAAATTGAGATTTGCACATCTTGGACGATGATGTGGATCGCAAAGATTTGATATATTTTCCAACTCTAAACAATGAAAATAGAAGCGGTTTTGATGGTGTTAAATTTTGGAGGAAATACGAGAATAGAAGGAGAAAAAGGAGAACCAAACTAGAGATAGACATACAGTTGAGGAAGATAGAGCCATAGAGTGGGAGAGAAAATGTTGCAGACTGAGAGAGGGTGGAGGAGGACGGGAGGGCAACATCTTTGAAGGAATAGAGATGGTGGCTCACGAAAATGGGGAAGATGAGAAAGGTGGAATAAGCAAAGAATTAACAAGAGAAATTCAAAACTTCAACATCAACTACCTCCCATAAAAGCTTGCAATCCATTTTTTTTTTATGGGGCAATAGCCAAATACAACCATTAAGTTCACGGAATAATGAAAAAACACGAGCATGAAATATTAATGGCTAATATAAAATAATATTATCTACTTAAAGAAGGATGGAGTTAATACTAGAAGTGAATCTTGTAACAATGTTTTTAAGTCTATCTAGTTAAGTGTACTACATCATATTAGTTGCAGTTGTACAACATCCATTCATACCATTGTTAGTATGCTGGTTTAACTTGTTATACCATTCAATAATTTCCTTATAATTGATAAGGCTTTATCTATTTCACTGGGCCTTCCACAAATAACATAAAAATTTTATCTTCTCAAAAAAAAAAAAAGGATGAAGGATGAATGACTCCTTGTGTCAATCCCTTGATTTCTAAAATCTTGAAAAAATTTTGCAACATAATAGAGGATTTGATCATTCATAGAGTAACAAAACCAAGAGACAAGAATGTCACCAGTAGCACCATATAAGCTGAAATAGAGAAGCCGAACATAACTTTGAAGGTGAACAGCACTGGAAAAAACATACGACTAAAGAGCATCTGAAACAAAGACTTATAGGAGACTTACAAAGGGCCTAAATCATAGGAATTCTTTTAGAACCCAAAACAAAGGAGATCTTCAAGGAAATAATAGGATAGGGAACCAACCATAAATCAAACTTTCATAAAAAGTAAAATTCTAAAGATGCACACATAAACCCCAAGTTCAAAATAATAAAAGAAAATAAACTCTAATGAGGCTCAATTTTTATATTGAACATCACAATGCAAATATTTTAGTTTCTCGACAATGGTAAACTTGGATAACCGCATTAAGTGGTACATGGGAGATCATACAAATTACCTTTCATGCAAAACAAAATTCTAGACATACTCATACAAACTCTAGATTAAAAAATAATAAAAGAAACAAAAATTCGCTTCAAGTTTGGCTTTCAAGCTGACCATCATATTGCAAGCATTTTATATTCTTGACTAATTTAGACTCGAGAATCACAGCAGTGGCGTAAAGGAGACGAAGAAAATACTAAAAAAATAAAAATATGTGCACCTTGAACTAGAGTGATGTTAAACATCAAGGATGACACCATATTTATGTAATTTTTCCCCCACCCTTCCACAGCCTATATAACAATGTGACTTGAGAGACTGCTCAGATATTGCTAAATAAGATATTGAAAGCTATGCTCCCAACCAATGCCCTTAAAACAAAAGCGTCCTAAAAGTGTCAGTGGCTGGACAAAAGTTTCTTTTAACAAAATATGGTAGATACTTAATACATACATACAGCGTTCTCAAAGAACACTACATATAAAAGACATCAACATTTGGTGATAAACAGATTATCTGATATCAGATAATTTTGTGTGATAAATATTTAATACCTCAACCTGCGGCCTTCTCATCGCAATTAAGTTCCATAACATTTTCAGCACTGATACAAATATAATCCTGTAAAACTTTATATTTGGAATTATACTACAAATAAAATCTCTTCGAGAGGAATTTTCAGTATCTATAGTCAGAAGGGGTTGACAAGAATAGGTCAACTACAGCAAAAATAGTGGTCTGTCAGAAGGAATAAGATTGAATTTTCAAAAAGAACAATTAAATGCAACCATAAAACAATATCCTAGAAAGATACAGCAATGTATAATAAAAAAAATACATATACTATACTCATAACAGCAAAAAGTTTCTCTTTTTCATATAAAAAGTGGAGATTGATCATTGCCAATTCATTAACAAGAAGTTACGAATGCCTCAAGCATCCATTTGGTGGCCAATCTTATAAACCACCAAACTACAAGAACATTTTCAAAACATGATTTTCATGTATTTTTTTCATAAGCATCTTCTAGTATTAAATTAAGGTTATCTACACCGAGCTTTTTGAATCAATGGCGATAATTACACTAACATAAAAAAATTCATTTTAATTTAAAGAGAAAAGGTCAAAACAGTCCCACTATTTGTATGGGATCATTTTAATCCCTTTTCTAATACGTTCAATTTAATCCCTTGATTTCTCAAATATGATCCAAATTAGTCCCTATGTTGGATTATTATTTTGGATCAAATTTAAAAATTCAAAGGATTATTTTGTATCACATTTGATGATTTAATGGAGTAAATTAGACATAATAGATAGTTTGGAACAAAAAATGGCCCCTATAAATGGTTCATGGCCTATTTTGACTTCCTTACCCAAAAATTACTATTATATTGGAATATTTTAAGAAAACATCATAATAATCAAACCATTATTTAATCAATGTCTATATTAAAATATTTCATAATATATCTATAAGTGTAAATTGATGGAAAAAAAAAGGAATGGAAAGGCCCAAAACAAAGGGAACTGGAATATAGGATAACAATTTCAGCTCGATAAAACCAAAGAAATAAGCAATCACTAAAAATCTATAAGAAGATGCATAATCCTTACCCAAAAAACCAAATCATAGCCGATACAGCTTCCATGTAACAAATAATGAAGAGGTTAAAAACAAGCTTCATGGATGCATGTGCAACCAGTTATCAAAAAAAGGGATCACATAACCTCTCTTTCCAATGCCTCTATGCATGTGTATTTCATAATTATGTCCTTCCATCCAGCCACTATATGCCAAAAGTTAAAATTTTTTTCCCAAAACAAATAAAGGCATTAGTAGCAAAGTTATTTTCAATAAAAAATTTGCACTGCATAAGAAAAGGATAAAACTATAATATTTTCAGAAGTACATCTTTGAAAATATAATCCAACTGCAGTCAGATTGGATATATTAAGCCGGTCAAACAACAAGAGCAAAACCCACAATACATGTATATTTTGTAACACAGGAGATGCTTACCAATCAAAAACAAGATTTTCTATATAAAGACAATAAACACCTTAAAAGTGTTTATAAGTACAACACTTTATTTGTGCATACCATAAGAAGCAAAAGAATAGCTGCTAAAAGGAATCGAACTCATTTTAAAGTTCAGCACTAGTGAAAAAATATGCTGATGTGGCATATAGATAAGAAAATTTTATTTACATAGCATGCAATTCTTTTGTATTTACATGTCTAAAGACGTGTATTTTCAGTTTTAAAAAATAAATAAAGGTGCTATTTTTTATGTGATATCAAAGATTTGGATGCTATTTATGTAAATATAGAAGTTTAGGTGTTAGATTTGTAAATACATAAGAATTGTGTGGTATGTATATAACTGCCCCTATTAGTTTGTTAGAAGAAAAGATGTAGACCGAGTACTTAATTACCTGAAGATCCCTTATTAAGCCTTCCAATAAAGTCCTTCCACAGTATGGAAGCAATGCAGCAGGTAAACATTCACCAGTGATAGGGTCAACCACACCAAGCCGATCCCCAGCACCACCAAGAGGATAAATTTCACCTAGCTTTGGCAAGCCCTAATATGTTCGAACCTTCTGTCACATCTCAAAGATAAATAAAAGTGGGAAAGGAAATTTACATGCATAGCACACAATACTTATGTATTTACATATTTCACACCTAAACTTTCATACTCACATACATAGCACTTTAGTGCTTTAAAACAAGCATGAAAAAGGCGTATTTCACTTTTTAAAAGTGGTAATAGTGTCATTTTTTATGTGATATTAAAGCTTTGAATGTTACGTGTGTAAATATAAAAGTTTAGGTGTGAGATATGTAAATACATTAGTGTAAAAAACAGGTTTGGAGAGGTAAAAATTCTCTTAATTCATATTATTCACATGTATGGTATGTATATACATATATATAGGAAAAACAATCCCTCCTATTTTACAAACTTATTAAATATACCTAACATAAGTTAAGGAAATAATTCTGAAATAAAAAGTAGAATAACATAGAATAAAAAGGGAATAAACTAATCAAAAGTTTCTCAAATAGTCCCAATCAAATCTTACAGGATCTTCTCAAATTTCCTACAAATGCTTCTCGGATTTTTACACTCCCCCTCAAGCTAGGCCTTAGATGTTGTAGAGACCAAACTTGGTATTAAACTCTGAGAATGTGCTTAAAAGAAGAGCTTTGGTGAAGACAACAACAACTTGTTGGTGTGTTTGGATGTAGCTTTAGCTGTATAATTCCCTCGTTAACCTTTCCAAAGATGAAGTGTCTATCAACTTCAATATGATTGGTCATATCATGATGCACAAGATTCTTGGCAATATTGATAGTTGATTGACTGTCACAAAACATTTATATAAGCCTACTGGAGGTACAACCTGATTCCCTTAACATTTTTTTGAATCTAGATCTATTCATAGATTCTCAAGGCGAGTGCCATATATTTTGATTCTGCACTGCTTTTAGAAACAACCGATGGAGCCTTACTTTTTCATGTCAACAAAATTCTCCATACATAGGTGCAGTAACATTTGATGAACATTCTGTCAGTGAGTTCCCTAGCCCAACTAGCATCAATGTAAACTTCCACATCTATTTTCCTAGTTTGCTCAAAAAATAATCTATAATCATGAGTCTTCTTGAGAAACTTCAAAATTCTATACACCATCTCCAAGTGCTCTTTATTGGAATCATTCATGTGTTGACTAATAATACCACAGAGTATGCAATATATGGCCTCATATGTGACAGGTAGATGAATTTTCCTACTAAAATTTCATATATTCCCTTATCCACAGAGATACTTTCTTCTCTCCTCTTTGGCTCTAGTTGGGATACATTAAAGTATCCACAGGCTAACAGCAAATCATCCCTATCTCCTTTATATATCTAAGATGCATTTTCTATATGATATAATGATGTCTTTCTTGGACCTTGCTACCTCCATACCTAGAAAATATCTCATTGTTCATAGATCCTCGATTTCAAACTCCATGGCAAGTACTTCTTTGACCTTGAGAATATCCCTTTCATGATCACCAGTAAGAATCCTATCATCCACATATATCATCAGTGAAGCAATCTTACCTCTTTGAGTGTATTTTACAAACATAGTTTGATCAACTTGACTTTGAGAATACACATTAGATCCCAAAATTTTAGAAAACATCTCAAATCACGCTCTTAGTGATTACTTAAGCTCATGGAGAGACTTTCTGAGTTTGCATACTAGTGGTTGTTGGATTAATTCGTAAATTCTGGTGTTATCTCTATATACACTTCTTCTTCTAGATCTCATTCAACAGAGCATTTTTATGTCAAGTTGATGTAGTCTACATTCCTTGTTAACTAATACTAAAATGAGAATTCTGGTAGTGTTAAGTTTGGCAAGTGGTCTGAAGGTCACTTGATAGTCGATCTCATGGGCTTGAGTGAAACATTTTATAAGTTTGGCTTTGAATCTATCAATACTCTCATCAGTTTTGTATTTGATATTGAACACCCATTTGCACTCAACCGACTTTTTATCCTGAGGAAGTTTAGTAAAAATCTATGTATCATTATGCATTACTGCGCGAATCTCTTATTCAAATCCTTTCCTCCATTTTGAATTTCCAAGATGTTCATAAATGGATTCAGGAATCTGCATACTATCAAGTTTATAAGCAAAAGCTTTGTAGGATTAGAATAGCTTCCCATAAGCTACATAGTCCTGAATTGGATAAATAATGCAACTTTCCTAATTACCAGCATCATAAAAGAAAGAGGATAACTCATAAGTACTAGACTCCTTACTCAAAATTTCAGATGAATGCAGACTTGGGTTTTGGTTTGAGTTGTTTTATTCTTGCAAATTGTCTTCCACCTACTCAAAATTTTTTTGCCTCCTTATGTACACGAAGTTCTTTGTTCTGAACTTCAGGTAAGGTTGGTTGGGCATCCTCAACTAGGTATCATCAAGTGCATCCCAAATTTGATGTTCAGGGGGAGCAAATTGATGTTCATTTGCACTCCCCCTGAACATCAAATTTGGGATAGTATGGTTGATTTTAAAAAAAAGTGACATTCATGGAATTATAATATTTTCTAGTAACATGAGAATAGCACTTATACCAATTTTTGTTGATAGCATGCCCAAGAAAAATACAATTGATAGACTTAGGATCAAGTTTTGTGTAATCGTGAGAATGGTCATGAATAAAGGAACGAACCCAAAGATTTGAAGTGGGATAGTAGAATAGAAAGCTCTAATGTGGAAATAAGTAACAATCAAAACATGAAATGTGTTTTGAAATTAAGTACCCGACTAGGCATTCGATTAATAAGGTACGTTGCAGTAAGAGAAATGTTTTCCACAAAAAATATTTAGGAACTTGATGGGACATCGTAATTGAGTAGGATACCTTAAGGAGATGTATGTTTTGTATCTCAGTTATCTCATTTTGTTGTGAGGTATTAACACATGAAATCATGGATGATTCCTTCTTTTTTTTTTTTGAAGATAAGACATAAGTATAGAGTTGAAATATTCATTTGTATTATATGTTTTGAGGATGTGAATTTTGCATTGGAATTGAGTTTGAATCATGTCATAGAAGATTAGGGATGTTTCAGATTTCTCCTTCATTAGGAATACAGAAGTGGTTCTAGTATGATATTTAATAAATAAGATAAACCATCAAGCCCCATTTAGAGTTTTCACCTTTAAAGATCCCCAAATATCATTATGGATAATGGTAAAAGAGTGTGAGGGTTTGTACTAGGTCAGAGAAAAGCTATTTCTAGTGTGTTTTATAAATTGATAAGTCCCATCTTGATAGAAACTAGATTTTTTTATTGATAAATAAATAAAGATACATCTTAACAACATAAATGAAATTGAGATGACCCATACGACAATGTCATCACGATAAGACATGATTTTTGATAGGCATGGACTCAACAAAAAATGGAGATGGCATTATTTGCGTGTTTAGAGAGACTTTCCTTTAGTAGGTATAAGCCTTAATGCATTTCAACATTGTCAATCACTTATCCAAAATCTATCACCTGAAATTCACAAAAGTTAAAATAGAATTTAGTAACACAATTCAGGTCATGAGTGAACTTGTTAATTGAAAGTAAGTTGTAATCTATTTGAGGAACATATAGCACTGAAGAAAATTGAATATCTTTGGAGACTGCAACATTTCCTTTCCCAAAAATCCTGGAGTGAGATCCATCGACAATTCTAGCAAATTTGGGGATGATGATCTCTTGATAATTGATGCGAGCACAAATGCCCCAATTCATGTGATCAAATCATCTGAATATATTATCGAAGATTGAAATCTTCCATTGTTAACAAAATAGGAGGATATGATATCTTGGTATATCATCAAGCTAGTAGGCTCTGGGGTAGAATTAGATGTCTTCATTATGTACTTGGTATAAACCCTATGCATATTTAGGGTCGGAAGAATCCTGACAACTATAAGTTGCAGGATTCCTAGCTGCTTCTTGTCATAGGAGTAGAGGAACTCCTAGAAAGTCGGAGAGGTCTGCTTGCACGAAAAAAGCTATCTACGATTGTCGATTGACTGCTACCACCAGCTACTCTACTTGCTCTGGAAGGAGTTGATGGGTTGTCGATAGAAGGCAAGAAGGCACATGGCTATAAGGTGGAATCCACTGTTCCTGCAAATAGGAAATAGCAAGGAAAGAATTTCTTGCGGCAGGCAAGAGAAGAAATAGGAACCGGAAGGGACTGCAAGGAGTTTGCGGCCTACAGAGAGAATTCAAGCAGTGACGGTTGTAGGGAGAAGCTCGAGCAAAGGGCCTGTTTTACATCTAGGCCTATTCTAAGGGCAAGTTCGTCTTTTGTATGCCTAAGGACAAGTTAATTTTTTATTATTATTGTTGTTGAGCATAAATAAGCTTATTATGTTTAGGGTTAGGTTTATGCATGAGATTAAGTGTGAGGCTTAGGTCTAGGGTTTGGGAGAGATTTCCTGCCTCTTGAATTGTAGAAATTGGGAGAGATCGTCTACCTCTCGAATTGTAAGCATTTATATTTGTTCAATTGTTGAGTTATTTGATTTATTGAAGAAATATTGTGTTTGCCCTAATTTTTTTGGAAAAGAGTGCCAATTTTGAAGTTGGGTCGTATCAGTCTGTTGTAGGGAGAAGCTTGAGCGAAAAGCCTACTGAGGGGAGAAGTTCCGGTGCTGGACCTGCAGGAAGATAGGTGGTTGTAGGGAGGAGAATTTGTTATTGCTGCTATAAAAAGAGTAGTTATTGCTGTTGCAGGGAGAGGCGTTGTTGCGGCTACTGCAAGAAGAGACGTTGTTGCTGCAGAAAGAGGCGTTGTTGTTACTGCTGCAAGCAGAGGCATTATTGCTGCTGCTGCAAGAAGAGGCGCAGTTGCAGTTGCTACAGGAAGAGGTGTTACAGCTGCTGCAAAGACATAGGAGGCTTTTAACAAAGAAGCAACAAGCATTCATTGGAGACAAACCTCTTGCAGGGAGAAGTTGGTTGGGGCCGGCAGGGAGGAGCAGCTTGCAAGGATGAACGCTTGGGAGGAAGCCTGCAAGGAATAGTGGCCTGCAGGAAGGAGGAGATTCCGGTGGCTGTCGAAAGTTAGGGTTTGTTCCAGGCACTGATACCATGTAAAAAACAGATTTGGAGATGAATAATTCTCTTAATTCAAATTATTCACATGTATGGTACATCTATATAGGGACAACAACCACTCCTAATTTACAAACTACCCAAATATATCTAACCGAAATTAGGAAAAAAAAAATTCTAAAATAAAAAATAAAATAACATAGAATAGGAAAGGAATAAACCAATTAAGATCTTCCTAAGTTGTCCCGACCAAATATTTGAGGATCTGCTCGGATTTCCTCTAGACTCTTCTTAAGATTTTTACAATAAGAATGTGTGCTATGTATGTTAATGCCCCTAAAAAATGTGTGTACATTTATTTAAAGCAGGTGCCACGCCAAATTTAAGCAAGTGAGATTCTATTGAGTTACCTCTAATCCCCAGAAAACTGCTTGAGATGCATATTCAGCATTCTCCAAGAGATTAACTCCAGAAGGAAAATGAAATTCTTGGAGTTGACATTTGAGAGAAAGATTCAGGCGAGAAAACCAATTAGATTTCTCTTTTGATGTTAGAGGTAAAAGAAGCTCTAATACCAGTACCTGATATCTGACATAATAAATTGCATCAGAAAGTTCACAATGAACACTAAATAATACTATTTTTTCCCTATAAGAAGAAAAATTGTTGCCGAATTTAAATGGAAAATATAAAATTATCAGATATTTGATTGCTTTGTTCTAATAGCATCCATCAAGGGCTAGAGATAAGGAAAGACCCATCTACAAAATAGACAATAAAATATAGATTGGAAAAAATACCATCTATAGCTAGCCAAACGAAGATGAAGTCACAACCTTTCAACAACTTTAGATGCAATAACAGAAAACAACAAGATGTAATACGAAATAAGAATTTGTTAAGTGTCAGTTCTTTTAAAAATATGTCATGCCCATGCAGACACTTTAGAATTCTTCAAAGGTATCCGGCTTGAATTTAGAAAAGATAACTAGATGGATGGATTAGAAAAATGTTACCAAATCAAAAGTTTCAAAACATGACAAAGTTTGCATGTCTATGTTTACTTATAATTGAAAATACTATTAAATTTGCTAGCAGGTGTCGAACCACCGAATGTTTATACCTGTGATCATATAAACATATTAGGTATACATGCCAATAATAAATGTATATTAAAATTCATTGATGTTATCGTTGTTGTTGTGTGTATGTGTGCATGTCTATGGAGGGAGTATATTCATGCCAATATCAGCTTAGGGTGCATTTGGGATAGCAATGCATTGCGCACCGCACTTTATAGTATTTGGCAAAATTACGTTTTGTATGTATTTTCAAAAAATTACGAAGAAAAGTTTCATTTTGCAACCTGAGCGGGCTAAATGTGTTGGTTTCCAAAAAATTATGGTCTAATTTAAAAAAAAAATTTGTTATTACTAAACAACAATTTTTTTACAGCAGCTTCACAGTTACAGCTATCCAAACAAATCCTTAAATGGTCCACCTGATGCTGAAGCTAGTAGTAGGAATGCCAGTTTTGTGATCTGAGTAAAGGGTTGTCCTCTAACATTGTGAATGTTTTATGTAAATGGCCATTTGAGTCAAAAGTTACATATTTAGGCTTCTTTTAAAAATATCTTTAACAGTTAAAATTTTTTTAGCCTTTTTTTTTGCATTTAAATTTAGATGGACAAACTCTCTTCAAAAATACACCAAGTAAATACTACATCTATAGAAGGAGACAGCAATATCACATGCTAAAGAGCAATGAAATGCTTTCTGCAACAATTCTTATGATTCTAAAGGCAAAGCTAGGAAAAAATAAATATATTGAAAACTGATTTCAGCATAAGAAAATTCACAAGCATTGCATTGGCGATTTCAGTAATGAAAACTATAAAAATACATTTATAAATCTTCTGAAAATTAGACTAGCAACAAAACCTGGAAGGTACATTATTTTTTTCCATTCCAATACATAACCAGGCATCCTAAAATGTTTTGTCTACAAAGAGCCCCTGAGACTATATGAGCTTAAATATCCAAACAATCACTTGAATGACAAAGATTAATCATAGAAATTAAGAGGAAAATGGATATTTCCTTTTAATTTCTATAATAAAAGATATTTCAAAGTAATAAAGAAGGGTATGAGGCCTTCTCTATAATAAAAGATATTTCAAAGTAAGATTTCAAAACAGCTTCTACTCTTCAGCTACTTCAATTAAATGGCCCTTTAAAATGGTTGCCTTGTTACTAGAGCAATAACATATGCCTTCCTTGGAAGATTTGGTGATTAGCACTGAGTTACAACAGGGGGTGTACTTACTGGTTCTCAAAAAATATCTTTCTTACTTAATTTCATACAACTTTGATATCAATGAATGTGCCAAACATATAAAGGAAAAGCCTGACCCACTTTTCTCTTAAAAAATGAAGGTATTTCACAGTTTAATTACCGTTTTCCAATCGTTATATACAAAATGAATGGGATAGGAAATTCTGAACTATGAATGATGGTGTCAATTAAACAAGATTTTCATAGAAGGACCAACCAAGATAAGGGCACACTCCCTCCTAAGCCATATCAGGATATGTTATGCCACCATCCTCCTTGTAATAAATAAATAAGATATTTACATGCATACCGCGCAACTCTTATGTATTTACATATCTAACACCTAAAGTTTCATATTTACATGCATAACACTCAAATCATTAACATTGCATCAAAGATACCACAATCACCAACTTTTTAAAGGTGAAATACACCTTTTCATACATATGTTAATGACACCAAAAAGTTAAAAGTGTAAATACCGAACTTTGGGTGTTAGATATATAAATATATAAGAATTGTGTGGTATGTATGTAAATTTCCCTAAATAAATACATGAATAGATATATATATATATTGCAGCTACCAGTTATATTAGTTGATAAAGATCTTAAAGGTTGTTACTAAGGTTTCAAATCCCAGCTCCATCAAACATGTGCTTTGTCACGAAAGTTTCCAATAACATAATAATAGTAATAAGTGCATCATATTTAACATATTTAAGAGAGATCTAGCATTAGCATTTTATATTTTTTTTCAGGTTTTATTTATTGCCATTCTAATCATTTATCGTGGCTATAGTTCTATTTTATTATGTTCACTTATGCATAAAGACGTCACGCCAATCTTTTTAGTTTTTTAACTCTCAAAAACTTCAACCTTCACCTATTTCCATCTCATTTCTAAATCCCAATTTATGTTTATTATGTGGAGCATGATTGAGTTAATTAATTGTTCACTCAGAGCCCTCGATTTCAAAGATCAAGTTTTGATGAGTTTTTTGGGGAGTAGGGGCAATGTTCCCTGTATTGGGTTTTGGGGCTGCGCCCCCAAAAAAAATTTCTGTGCCTAACGCCCCATAGCCCAAAAGAAAGCCCCGCAACACCCAACCTATGTTCAGAACCCGAGAGTGTGCCATCGTAGTGCCTCTAATGAAGCACCTTAGCACTCATTGGAGTGTCGCAACGCCATATCGCGATGCGTGGAACCCGTAACTGACTTCAGGAGTTCTTACATATTGTGTGATCACTGTCGACGAGAGTGTGTTGGATTTCAAGTTTTCTCTAGTGTAAATGAGAGAAGAAATACCCTGAAGTGTTTGAGTGAGGAAATGCTTAAGTGTGGTGTAATTTATATGATTTTTTTCATTTTCTTTAAGGTGGATTTCTTGGTGTGATGTTGATCCATAGTCTTTTTTCATTCTTGGGGTTTTACACGGTAAATCTCATGTTTTCTTTATTTTCTTATTTTATGTACTTCTATTCTAAGTTTTGTTCCAGATCTCTCGAATCAATTTCTGCAACTTATTCACATCTCACCCAACAATGTATAGTATGCAAACAAAGATGTAAAACAATAACGAATCAAGATTAATCACCCGATAATCCCACCAACACAGTCATAAAACTCTTCAACATCATTCAAAGTCTTCAGCAGCTTCTCCAATGGCTTTCTCATTCCACCGCTCCTAATACCATCATCCTCAACCTCAACTCCAACTCCATCCAAATTCCACCTCTCAATCATATCCGCCAGCATAAAAAATGCCTTTCTCAAGCCATGATGCCCTACACCACCGCGACCACGATGCAGCTCCGAGCCAAGAACGTGCTCCTGTCCGGCGGAAACGAGGCATTTGATAAGGAACTCGTCTTTCATATCCAGCGAAGACAAATCCTGTCCCGAACCGAAGAAATCCCTAACCCTATCTTCAGCGTCGAGCACTCGTAGCTTGTCGCGGAGGGTATTGGCCTTGCGGAGATGCAAGCTTAGAGAGTGCAGGCGAGCGATTTCCTCCTCGAAGTCAAAGCCGGGAGCGGAGGCTTGCTCGAGGGGAGCAGTGGAGACGCGGCAGAGCGGCGAAGAAGATGAAGATGCTGATGAGGATAATGATAGCGGCTCAGAGGACAGAGAGGATAAATGGTAGCGGAAATGGAGAGCTTTAGGTGGAAAAGGTAAGAAACAAGAGGGAGTGCGAGGGAGGAGGTAGGAAGAGTGGGGGAGAGAGGAGAATGAGGAGGTTGTTGGCGTTGACACCGCCATGGTGATGAAGAGATCTGAAGAGATGGATAAAGGGCTGAAGTTGAGGGCCGGGGTTTTACATGAGTTGAAAGAGAATTGGAGTCAGCGGACTGCGAAGGTTTGCGAATTGCGATAGATTCGGATATGCCCAGCAGCGCTGTTTTCCGGAGGATATTCGAGTAAGATGTTTCGCGAATTGCGATTGATTCGGATATGCCCAGCCGAGGATGTTGTAGGCGCAGCATTAATGTGTTTGTTGTTTTGGAAACATCCAAGGGGTGGTTATTTCATATAAATGGTCTTTTTATTTGGAATTGTCGTTTCAATTTGTTTATTAAATGCATCCCCTCGATTGATCCCACGGCCCACATACTTAACTTCACTAATTACTCTCGTGCCCTTCTATTGATCTGTCTCCTCGATGACTATTAGCAGTGTCTTTCACCCCTTCCTCCTCCCTCCACCCTCCAATCTCTGGTTATTGTGCTATATAATTAAGTTCGATGGAATGAATTTCCATATGCAATTTGTGGAGACTTTTCGATGGAATGGTCATTTCTATGTTGTTTTTCAATGAAATGGTTTTCATTGCGAGATTTTTTGATTTTTGGATAATTTGGAGAATTGGTGAAAGTAAATTGGGGTAAATGAGGTTGTACCTTGTGGCTTTGTGTTATTCTCCTTTGTGATTGGTTATCTGTGTTATTGGGTTGTTATGGTTTCCCTGGGTGGTGATTGTGTGGGTTTGTGGGCATCTATATGGTGGTTGTATTTGGTTGTGTGTGTGTGGTTGTATTTGACTGCCGGCTTAAAATTTACTTGTCTAGCATACAATTATAATGTATTTGGTTGTGAGGGTGTGTGTGGTTGGGTTTGGGTGCTCTGTGTTGTGTTATGTTGTTTGTGTGAGGCTTGGTTGGGTGGTGGTTGTATTGGGTTTAAGGTGTGTGTGTGGTTGTGTGTTGTGTTAAGATTGTAGTTGTGTGTTATGTGTGTTGTGGCTATGTGTGTGTGTGTGTGGTTTAGTGTTGTGTGGGTCATGTTTAGAAGGTGTTTGTGTTGGGGTTGTGTGTTTGTTATGTGTTGTGTTGGCCTTGAGTTGTGGTTGTGTGTGGTTTGTGGGCATCTATATGGCAGTTGTATTTGGTCGTGGGTGTGTGTGTGGCTATATATAGTAGTTGTATTTTGTTGTAGGCCTAGAATTTACATGTATAAAATATAATTCTGATGTATTTGGCTGAGAGTGTGTGTGTGGATGTGTGTGGTTAGCCTTAGGTGGTTTGTGTTGTGTTAGGTTGTTTGTGTAGGGCATGGTTGGGTGATGGTTGTGTTGGGTTTAGGGTGTGTGTGTGGTTGTGTTATGTTGGGGGTTGTGGGTATGTGCTCTGTGTTATGACTGTGGATATGTGTATGCTTGTGTGTTATGTGGGGTTTGGTTGGGTGGTGGATGTGTTTGGGTTGTGTGTGTGCTATGTGCTATTTTGGCTTTAGGGCATGTGCTATGTGGTTGGGTTTAGGATGTGTGTTGTGTTGTGCTATTTGTGTGGTTCTATGTGAGTGCAGTGGCTGTGTTGGGTTTAGGGTGTGTGTGTGGTTGTTTGTTGTGTTGGGGATTATGGGTGTATGTTAGTAGTAGAATGAAATGTTTAACAAAAGAAACCCCTCATTACACAACATAATTTAAATAACGTTTGGAGTGTGGAAAAAAAATGAGTCATGTTGTGTGATATGCCGACACAACAACTTCTGGATAGTCTGTTAGTCGTTGTTGGTTAGTGTCACATGTGAAATCCTGATAAAGGTAATCAAATTCCTCTTTTCTTTTTAATGGTGTGGTTTTTGAGGTACTTCTGGATGACTTTTTTTGTGATATGCATATGTGACACACATGAGCTTGATATTAAGTGAGCTAAATAAAGCCAAGAACCCCTGTTTTATAAGGTCTGATGGATTGTCTTTTGAATCAGGATTTTAGGGATCTCCCGATGAGTGCTCTGTCACTGCAGACTACAGACTTCCCTACTGACGTCACGCGGAGACAGTTCTACAAGTGCTCGCGGGCATCACGAGGAAGTGTGACTTCTTTTGGTGAGCGGATAGTTCGACAAATTCCACTCCTGATAGTGATCGGGGTTTGATGGTATCCTTAGAGGACGACGTAGACATCGTCTGTATTTTAAAATGAATATTATCATATTTTTAATTGTAATTTTAATAATTTTTTTTAGCAAACTTGATATTCATTGTTATGTGAGATGTCAGGTGTGTATCTTATTTTTTTAATGTATGGTGTCAGGTCATTCTTGGTGGGTTCCACGATGCCGCATTAACTCTTATGTCTGTCGTGAAATATCTTTAATATTCATGCCGACACATTTTTTATGTACATTAAAAATGCATCCAAACATAAGAGTTCCTCATACCTATTATGACTCTGATACCAATATTATCCAAAAATATAAATTGCAACAATAATAAAATTGATTTATTATTATTAATCTTATTTGTAGATATTTTTGTTATTCAATAACTTAGCTCTCCTAACTCAACCCAATGCCCTTTCAGTTCACCTCCACCAAGCGTTTTCAAAACCATCACGAGAATAGTCACATGAATCCACCCACAAAACACTTAAACACCTAAACCCCTTTAAAACACTAACAACCACCATCCTGAACGCCTCAAAACCATTGCTTTTCTGCATTCCATTCAATGCCTTCCCCTCCCTTATCTCTTCCACCCTTCATCTCCCGTCTTCTCCCACCACAATGGCAACAACAAACTCAAAATCTCAACACAGAATTCGCCGCAGCAGCAGCCTCGAACTCATCCACCTCGATGTCCCCCTCATCTCCACCCGCCGCCCTTCCAACCAGACCTACAGCAACTGCTCGCCGGAGCTCTGCTCCGTCGACACGAGCCGGAGGGTGCCGTTCTTGTGGGAGAGAGAGGCCGGCGTGCCGAAGGATGGAAGCGGTCGAAAGAAGGAGGATTTCTTCTTCTTCCCTCCTAAGCCGCCGCCTGGCCGAAGAGCAAACCCAGTGCCGTATGTTTATTACAATGACACTGAAGATGATGGGAATGATGGAGATGTTGATAGCTGCAGCGATGGGGACAGTGAGGAAGAGCGCTGGGTTTGTGATACGGTTGACAAGGTTTCGTTGCCCTGTTCATCCGCGCTGGATTGCAGGGAGTTTAGAGGTATTAATTAAATTGGTCCTAAAACTGATAGGTGTTTATGAGTGGTATTGATGTGTTATTGGAGTAGTCGGTAATATTTGGGTGATATTGGGATGCAATATCATCTCTATATTACCCTAATATCACGGTTCACACGTAATATTTGCTCGATGTCAACAGCTTTAAAATATAAGCTCTTTAAGTGGAATAAAATAAAGGGGGCAGCCCATACATTGCTATTTACAAATTTAGCATCGACTTTAGTTCATTTACAAATTCTCATTTAAATATTAAAATTCATGATAAGTCTCAAACTATATTTTTTTCATTTTTATCAAATTCTCATTGATTTGTTTGTTGCCATGCAAATAGATTGGTTTGATAATTTAGAAATAGCAAGTGGGAGCTAAATTTTGCAAATAGCATTGTTTGGAGTGTCATGTATGTAATTATCCCTAAGGAAATATTAGAGATCATCCTTTTTTAAGAAAAATTCAATGTTATTTATTTATTTTTTTTTTATTTTTGGTGCTATAAACAGAGGGGGCAAAGTATTTGCATCCACACACTTTGTTCCACCTAGGAGTGTAAACGAACCGAACAGAGCTTATATTCATGTTTGATTCGTTTGAAATTTAGTTTATTTGAAATAAGCTCGTGTTCGAAATTGTTCGTGAAGTCACTGTTAGTGTTCGTTTCTTAACGAACGAGCCGGACACGAGCTGTTCACGAACGACTAGCCAATTTGAAATCCCTAATATTAATATATATAAATAATATATTATATTAATTATATAACTTATATTATATAAATATATAATATATATATTAATATAGTATATTAATATATTATTATAATTAATTTATTATATATTATAATTTATAAAATTTAATGTTTTAAAATATCATAATTTTTTTTATATATAATTATTTTAAATTATTTTATATTTCAAACAATAACGATTTGAACACGAACGAACGCATCATTGTTTGTGTTTAGTTCATTTAACTAACTGAACGGAAAAAATTTGTTCGTGTTCGTCTCATTTACTCATTGACGAACCGAACACGAACTGTTCGTGAATAACGAGTTTTTTTTACAGTCCTAGCTCCACCCAAATCTTTCACGTCGCATAAAAAATATCATCATTTTATACTTTTAAGGAGTAAATTCAATTTTTCATATATAGATAAGATGATATTTATGTAAAAATTGAGATTTAGAAGATAGATATGTAAATACTTAAAAATTGAGTTGTATGTATGTAAAAATTCCAAAACAATAACATTACGATATATAATGTAGTTATTTTTTAAGGCACGCTCACTACAAATTAATATAAGAAATAATGCTTAATATACTTGAAATTAGCATGTCATATGATTCATAATAGACACTGAAAAAAAATGTGTTATACAAATAATTTAGTTGTATTCAACTTCTAAATATTTACTAATTAATTATATTGTCTAACATAATAACTATATTAAAAAATATATATGTGAAAAAGTAGCCTCAACTAATATAAAACTAAATCAAGATATAAAAAATTGATACTTTGACTTTTTATTTTTAGTATTAGCTTTAATTTTTAAATTTACAAATGGATCAAATATAAAATTAAATATATTAATTTTTTTAAATATTAAATGATTAAATCCACCAATTATAAATAAACGAATGACAAAAAAAAAAATCAATATGAATAATATTGATTTTGCATACCAAAATTATAAATTAAATTTAATAAAGATTATTTAATATTTTTCCTAAAACATTTAATTTAACTTCAATATAATTAATTTCATGGTTAAAATTATTTATATTTGGATTCATCCCAACTCAAAACAAATTAATCTTTTAATGAGAAAATTTATTTTCTAAATTTTAAAAATCAAATTAATTAATATACCAACTTTTTAAATTTAATTATTCAAATTATATATATATATATATAATTGACATCCCAAAGTACAGGAGTTCACGGGTCACCCAGCTTCATCATGAACCGGTTCCTCCCAGCCGCCAACGCCATCGCCACTCATTCAACTCCAACAATCCCAAAACACCCAACCCGCAGATCGTCTCCTTCCACTCTCTCTCACCGCTTACAGCGCGAGCTCATCAAATCACAGCAACAAAAACAAGCCGCCGCCGCCGCCACCGCCGCCACCGCCACGAAATCATCATCTTCAAACGCCATAACAGCCCAACAATCCCACCACCCTCATCTCCCTTCCAAATCCTGCGGCCTCCACTCCTTCTTCCCATGGACATTAAAGCAAACACCTTGCGGGCACAAAAACCCTGTCCTTTGCCAGACTCACAGACCTGCTAATGAGATATCGGGTAAGAGAAACAAGAGATTCTCTCTTGATGCGTTGAGGATGAACGAGAGGGTTGAAGATAATTTGAGTAGCAAGGCGTTTAAATCTCCAGGGTGGGGGTTGCCATTCCTGGATACGAGCAGGCTGAGACTGAGAAGAAGGGATGATGAGAGGGAGAGAGGAAGAGAGTTTACGGAAGGAATGAGAGGTGGTGGGAAGCCTTCTTGGAGTCTTCCTAGGCTGCAGAAGCCATCAGAGCCATGGCTTTCTCATGCTTTGAATCATTTTAATGGCAGATACTGAAAACTGCTTCGAAGATGATGGGCTATATGTATGGTTGGTGAATATCATTTCTGATATAAAAATGTGTTGATTTGAACTCTTTTAAAAACATTTGTTGTATGTTGATGTTTAGAAGGTTGTATGAATTGTGATACATTTGTTGAAGATTGTAGTCCGTAAGATGGTATTGATTCAGACTGTAATGTTGTCATGGAAGGCAAACAATTTTTTTTTGTTTTTTAACGGCATAGATACCACCTATGGGCCAAGATATTTCAACAGATTAAAAATGTTATTAGTGATCTTGTATTTTCGTATTTGCAAGATTTTAAGCATGCGTCATTCAAGTCAAATATTGGAGCGCTATTTACGAATGGAGTACCCATGCAGTTCTGCGTGCGTACTCCCCCAAATAACCTTTGAATAACTAAGTTATTGAGAGATTATCCAAATAGCCTACCAATACATTTCGTGGTTCCGCGCTCATTTCTTTTGATGTTATTCCGACACTGAGATAAACCTCCAATCCCTCCCGAATAACCTCAATACACATGCAAAACTGCGTACTCCGTACGTAAATATTTGTCCAAATATTGATGAAAGATTAATATTGAGATTATAAATACGATGATTCATTACTTTAATGTAGAAAGCTTGTTATATTTTCATATTTGCCTGATTTTTTAATAGAAATAAAAAATTACAAATGCAAAAATATCATATTAAACTTTTACCATAATTTCCCTGCAGAAATCTTATAAGGAATTTCTCAAGGAAATCAATCTTCAATCCCTCAAAACCACAAATCAATAATCAACTGAAACCATGCATCAAAACGCTGACACAGAACCACAAACAACAAGCAGCAGCAACAAACTCAGCACAGCAACCATCTTCCCACCCTAACTAATGACCAAGAGGAACACAGTTTACCGGCTTAAAAGCCAACGGTGGAGCGGCATAAACCACCACCTCATATCCCTTCTCCTTCACCGCCTTCTTCCTCTCCCCAACTCCAGCACCAGCAATCCCGAAATTGATGTTGGTAAGCAAATTACAAGCACTGTCAGGTGAATCCAGCAGATGAATACTGCAACCACTAATCTCCTTCTTCCTAACACCTTCTGTTCCATCCATTTCTGGAATTGGAGCATAGTAATATCCATTCTTATCAGCTTCAAAGGATTTATAGAACCAAATTCTCTTCTTGTAATCCTTGCAAGCAATGCCAACCTTAGCTGAAGCCAGGGACTTGGCACCTTCAAGTGACCAAGAACCAATGTGCTCGCAGCTTTGGCAGTATACCTTGCCTTCTATGACTGTAAATTCTTTGAGATGTTTGGATGCTTCATAAGCGGATGAGAGAAGGGGGAGAAACAGGATGACGAGGAGGCTTTGTATTGCCATGTTTTGAGTTCTGTTTTTGTTGTGGAGGATAATGGAGACTGGAGATATTATATATGTGTGAAATGCTGAGGAATTGTTGGTAGAAAGTAGTGGGCTTCCTCTAACAAAAGGACAGCTTTAAATTGAAGACTGGATTGGGCGTGGATGTCATTATCTGGACTTGAGGAAACGTGTGGGTTGGTAGGAAGAGTATGATATAGTTATTTATTTGTTTGTTATTTGTTGTAAGATTTAGGCTCTCCAATCTTCTAGATTTCAATGACAAAATATATAAAATGAATATGTATGTATTAGCAAACTGTGAGTTGGGCCTCAGCTGGTACTATATTTATGGATTTTAGTAAATATTTTAAAAATGTAAGTCCCTAAAATAAATAAAAGAAATTTTACATAAGAAATTTTGTGAAGTATATTGCAAACTGGACAAATGTTATTGGTTGATAATTATCCAAGAGCTTGGAGATTTAACACAAATCTCTAAATTGATAGGTGATTACTTGAATGAGTTGTGAGAAGACTTTGTAAGTTGTGGTTTCAACAAGTAGAGTTTAGATGTGACAATAAGAAAGTTTGTATTGTAAATATGGGAAGAGTTGTGTGGCAGTATGTAAACAAGAAATGAAATTGGGGTGTTAGATTTGTATATGTGTAAGTATTGAGTGGTAAATTTTTCATTAAATTTTGTATTGTACAAGTGATATGATTTTGTAGTATATCATTTATTTAAACAAGATTAATGTAAATGAGCCATCTCGTTGTGATTTTTGAGCTGGAAAGGATTTGAATTGCTCAATTTGAGACAACTCATTTCCACTCTAGCCAATCGATATCAAGCCGATTCCAGCTAGATTTAAATTTTGATCTTTTATAGCCCTATTTAGGTTTAATTATGGAAGTTGTGCTTACATATGTAAATAAGTGTCAATTGTGTGGTTTGTATGTAAGTCAATTACTATCAAGTCATTTTGATTTTTGAGTTGGAGCGGATTTATGTCGCCCAATTTGAGATAGCTCTTTTTTATTTTAACCGGTCGATATCAAGCCGATCTCGACACAAATTAAAAGTTGATCGTTTATAGCTTTAGGTTTAAACATGCAAGTTGTGGTTACATATGTAAATATTTATGAGTTGTGTGGTATGTATGTAACTCACTTAGCTATCAGGTTTATCTGAAAATATACAAGTTCATATGTTTTAGACAAACAAGAATTCAGTGATATGTAAGCTAATGCCCTTTTGTAAATGGTACCCACCGATCAATTTTTGTGTTTGATATACTTGCAATGTTGCATCTATATAGGGTTTGCTTTTTCATTTTCAAATAATATACAACTCAATTTACTAATCCTAAAACGTAATTGAGTATGTGATACTGACCAAGTGCTGCGAAACACCAACGACAGACACAAATATACGTGTCGTCCAAGTAGTATATGAAATAGAGTCTGTGTATCAATCCCATGAGAAATGAGTGAACTCCCAAAGTTTGAATAAATTCTAGCCTACTCGTATTGAGTCTAACCTGAAGGTTCAAATGTTGGTGACTTTTGAATGTATCTAAACCTAATTTTTTCAAAGAGGAAAAATTGTATTTTAAATGTGTGAGAGTACCTCTCCTGGTTTGGATTCTAAGAGTCTAGAGTTAATAAAATGACAAATCTATATTGAAAATCACAAACAAATCTCTTTCTCAGCCCCTCCCTGTGACATTAAGAAAGTTTAGATATAAAAAAAAATTAATTTCTTAAATCAAGTGAAAATCTAAGGATTCAGTATTTTCTAACGAGATTGCACTAACCTAAGAGCAATATTTCTATTCTCTTAAATTAATGAGGTTTAACCTAGTTGTTCCACTAAGTATTCTTTCAATACTCAAAGATCACAATAGGTTTTAACAACTCATTTGGTTAGGTTGAATGCAAATAAAACTTGAAAGTTTAGAACTTCACCATAATAAAATTTCACACAGTCAGATGCAAATAATTAAACCCTAAAACTTTTACTCACCAAATTAAAGTAGAAAAGAGAATTAATGATTAATCATATTTTAAAACAATAGGTAACACATTTTATTACTCAAAGTAAACATAGTATACTAGTTTAAAAATAAAATCAGGAAATATTACACTTGATTTGCAATTTCTATCTCTACACCTTTTTCTAGTTTACTTATGAGCACTTGTTTTGGACAATCCTCCCGAATAGTTCCGGGCAGAACTCTCACACTCACCCTCGCAAGCCTTCTACTCTCCTTTATAAAATTTTACTCACATTCACGAATAAGATAGAACCCTTGACACAGCTAGCGAGCAACCCTGTTATCCTTCTTGACCCCTATATGTCCAAAGATTGCCACATATATGTCAATGGATCACCACACAAGAGGAAACTGCTAGTACTTCCTTGTCGACACAGAGATTCTATCAAGGTGGCACAAAGGAGTTTGTCATCCTATACATCTCTAGATGTAGTCTTCAAAGGTGGTGTTAGGTTTCTCCAAAAGCAACACTAGCATTTCTCCCTCACGGTTGAACTTGCATGTGAGTCAGTGTATATACTCCGGTAAGTGGCTTAGTTATGCCTCTACATTAAGGCACCTAGCATTTGGTGTGGCACCTCAGTGCCATTATTACAGTGCCTTTGCACCAAGCTCTCAGCATGCATGACATGCACTTAAAGGCAATAAGAGGAAGTATGAGGCACATAGGTGAAAACATAGTAGCACCTTGGTGCTGCTTGCTTTGAATGTGGGTGTTGGGAGATGCATATGTGCTAATTAGGTGGGACATATGTGTCCATGGCATGGAGTTGAGCCACCTATATGTGTTAGCTTAATGAATCATTAAATATATGTATCCTATAATTACACACGAAAAATATTTGAAAAAGCATAATTAGTTTACAAATAAAAAATCTAGAATAATATCAACAAAATAGTATAGATTTCACACACATCAACATGACGTTAACTATGCTTAAATTCATTTATCAAATTTATATGTCACTAAAATGAATGTTTACACTATAAGATTATGAATGTAGTAGAAAATGACTGAGGAGTTCTTGAACAGTGTTGAGTCTTTCATGCAAGCACTATCTCAGCTTTTGACTTACCTATTTGAGGGTATGTTTTAATGCCATGCTTGAAATAAAAGATTCAAGAATAGTTAATGCCTGACAAAGTTAGATATGATTTATATTGTTGGGGAATTATTCGTTTAAACTTCATGTGGTGAGGTTGAACCTGACATTTTTTCTTTTTCAACTAGTTATGATCCTTCAAATGTGTTTAATGCAAGTAGGTTTATAAAAAATGTTCTTTGATGAAACAATATCTCATTATGCAAGCAAAGTGGAGGAAGATCCATAAAACAAAAAAAAAAACACTGATATTTTATAAATTATTGAATGCGACAGAAAGAGCACTATTAGATGGTTACACATTCCATTCTAAATTAATTGTGGCTCTTAGAATGTTTATAATTACATCATAATTTAATATGCCCTAAGAATGTTTTAATCAGGACACAGAAATACTAAAAGAGACAAATTCATAGAAAAATTTAGTAACACGGGACTTATGCTTAGTGAAAAAACTAATCTCCAAATTAGGTTTGAAATCAAAGCATACATATTTTTTTATCAATAAATGCATTTCATTCAATAAGGTTGATGTAACAGAGACTTAATGCAATTTTTTTGAGGTTCAAAGATTCATACCTCAAAATAAATGAAGAGAAAGAAGAAAGTTTCATATAAGCATCTCTTTTATTTGCCAGTTATTATCAATCTTCAAAGACTACTTATTTCTATTCGTACTACTCTACATATAAGATGATATCATAACATATTAGATGAATTTAGTTTAAATAGTTATATGAAAGATGGAGAAATATAGAAAAAAAAATTGTATCCTGAATTTGCTATCGAATCACATAATTTTAGGTTTAAATTGTGTGCCATTATACAATTAGACTGTCTAGCCTTACTAATGTTGGCTTGTGATAGCTACTATGTATAATCTTCCAGAGATGTTTATGACCACTCCCTTTATGTTTCTGATAGTGATTATTCTATTTCCCAATAGTTAAAATGATAGAATTGATGTACATTTACAATTATTGGTAGATGAGATATAAAGTCTCTAGAAGAGAAGTGTCATTAACCTTTTTTGAAAAAAAAATTCAAATGAAAGCAACTTAATGTGGGAAATAAGATTTTATGGCGAATAGAACATTATCAAGATTAAGCACCGTGGGAAAGTTACCTTGATCATATTGCATAGATTTATTAAAGTTGTTTATTTCTCAACATAAAAAAAAAAAATTATAATTTTACCGTCATCATATGTTATTACCTACTAGTTATCCTTTTAGGTGAAATAAAAATGTATTTGGAAAAAATAGAGTTGAGAAAATCAAAACCATCACCAAGATTAACTGGGATGAATTATTTTAGATTGTTGGTGCAATTTCAAATATTTCTGATTGTCTTGAGCTATCTCCATAGCATCTCTATAATTTTTATGTTAATCTTAACTGGATAAACGAATTCATTTGTTGGCATCTACCTTACTATATGACTAATTTGATTAGGTATAATCTTGATTGCATGCACATAAATATTTTTTTGATAATATTTTTGACGCCTTGATGGATGTTAATGGATAAAACTAAGTATAACATTGATGTCAGAATGGACTTAAAGAATCTTTGTAGAATAATGACGTTAAGGAATTAAGAAACTATTGCTGATAAATTTATTAAACCAAATACAAAATATTATCCTACTTTTGGTTCAAAAAAAATAATTTGTGAGTGGATACACATTAAAATTTTCGAGTAACTATGCTTCAAATTTAAGCTACTATATTGACTTGGGAGCACAAAATATATTTGGAATAAAAAGCCATAACATAATTTTTTGCAAAATTTGTTTTTAACTGCTTTTAATTGTTTATCAAGTGAAAAAATACTTGATCAATTTATTAAAATTACTGTATTATTTAAGGATTTATGTTTAGCTTGTTTAAAAATTGATGCATCGTGGTAATTAGAAACAATAATTCTAATAGTATTGTGTAAGCTCGAAAGAAT